GTATCTGCCCTTGCATTGCGTTGGAACAGAGGTAGCTGCTATTTCTGGGAATCTATATAGAAATGCCATATTTTCAAAATGTGTCCACATCAGGCCCACTATGGTAGTAGAGCTGAGGTAGGTATGAATTAAATAGCCTGTCCCTTGAGGGGGGAGAAGTAGCGGTTCTATAATTGCCAGCTGCTACTTTCGGGCATCCTAATTATACTTTTAGAACCCAATCTTAGGGATTGGCAACCACAATAACTGTGATTGGATTTAAAAATAAATTTTCCGACGACCTCGCTGTTGCGTCGGACGAGGTGGGTAGGTGGGTGGGGGTCGTGTCCAGGTTTTCAATGGCGTGGAGATCCAACACAATCATCAGTCCCAGTGCGATGCAAAGCAACGATAACTAGATTAAATATGCCCTTGATTATACGCTACCACCAGAAAACCACCATTTTTTTGTCTAGGGCGTTTTACTCTCGGGAAGTCTATTAAAGACTAAATACAGAAACCCTCAGAAAATACCAAATACAAAATGCTGATGATATCTTTTGTTCCTGCACCCTGGTGGTCGGGAACCCTTTCCTCTTTATTCCAGGTTGGATTTAGTACAAGAAAGTTAGCGTAAAATTTAGTGAAAGGTTGAAAAAATTGCAACAGAATTTATTTTACCACAGTGTAAGGTCCCTATTTGAACATATTAAAAGTCTAGAAAAATATAGGTACGGGAAATATGTGGAAATGTGTTTTATTCAAAATGGCCAACAAAATAGATAAAAATATGAGAAAAAATTGTAATGTCATCATAATATGTCATATTTATGAATAAACTTGTAATTTTTTAGATCGCCACTAAGGTTTTTAATATTTAGCAACCAATGTAGGCCTATGTATTACTTTATAGAATAAGGCTAATATCTTATAAAAGCGGCCGCTATCTTGGATTTTATAATGGCCACCATGTAAAACATGTATTTATCTATATCTCCGCTTCTAAACCACTTCAAATTATAATTCTAATGTCCAAAAATATGTTTTTATGGTCAAGAAATATTACCATACAATTTTTTGACAGCGTCAGATTGTCATAAATAGGTTATTTAGGGTCATTTAAGGTAATTCAAGGTCATTACAGGTAAAATATTATATGGCATCTTAATAAACACGGAGGCCTACAGTAACTGTCGTGTTTTACATCAGAAACATACTCAACCTCTTAGAATTCAGTATTTTTATGGGAATTACAGTATTTTATTCAAGGTCATTTTGGTGGCCATCTTGGATTTCAAAATGGCTGCCATCGATAAAAATGTTAATATCTCTGCTTTTAAAACATTTCAAATTTGAATCATGATCAAAGATTTACATTTATACCATTTGTGACATGTTAAGATGGATATTATGGTCATAATTAGTCAATTAAAGTCAATCAAGGTCAGTTTATATTTAATACTTTGTGATATGCTCTTGTTAGCAGTCATGTTTTAATGTAAACATTATACTTAAGCTCACAGAATTCGATTATTTTGATAAGAAGTAATTATGGCAGCCATTATAAAATCATTCGATTTCATTAGGTCAAGGTCATTTAGCAGCCATCTTAAATTTCTAGATAACCACCATAAAGCCTATATCAATGTTAAGAATTTTTATGTTTTATGTGTACTGTACATAGTAAACAATACCATTGTATAATTTGACATGGCCAGGAGATTATAGTCGTAAATAGGTCATTCAATTATGTAAAAGGGCAAAAATATTGCATTTTTATGATTTATGTGTACAGGGTAAGGATTTAAAGGAAGTTTTTAAGGAATTCCATAATTTTGGACTAGTGTAAAATATGGATTTTTTTTGCAGAAGAGGATGTATATTTTTCAAATAAAACGTTACTTTTAGCAAATCTAGTATTATGATCATGTATGTCAGACTGTTGTTTTGGAAATAGATTATAAATATGTGGGGGAAATGTTTCATTTCTAAAGTGATAGATAAAAACATAGTTTTGTAATTTATGCAAATCAAATACATTTAGAACACTAAATTTGTAAAATAAAGGTTTGGTATGGGAAATACGTGTTGTCCCTGCACAAATCCTGAGAGCTCGCTTTTCTAATTTAAAAATATTGTCAATAGAGTTTGTTTCATATTAGTTTTATAAGTTGGCCATACATAGGTTTTTATAAGGTGGCCATTTTAAAATCTAATATGGCTGCCATAATGACCTCCGATAATTTTTTTTCTATCAACAATTGAATGCTATGACCATAAGGAGCATGTAATAAGTTGGTGCTTTTGTCCAAAACGTCCATATGGCACTATAGCTGCCTGGCGTATTATGCATACACCACTAAATATGTCGTCGTATTTGTGGCAGCCATCTTGAAATTAATGATACCCAAATCAATTAAGTGTACCTGTATGCATCAGAATAATTTTAGGATTTGTAAATATATTTTAGAAAAAAAAATATGCTGAAATATGTTGAAAATATCAGGTTTTTTTTTTCAATTTTTGGTTAAAACTAGCCATTTTTGGCGGCCATTTTGAAAAAAACACACTTCCCCTATGTGGATTTTTCTAGACTTTTAGTATGGTCATATAGAGACCTTAGGAAAATGCACTGTGTAAACAGAAATTCTGTTGCAATTTTTTCAACCATAAGATGTATTTTTCTTGTACTAACTCACTTCTGTCTGCATTAGTGTCTCTAACAACCATAATTGCTATTATCATCATCATAATCGTGACCGTTATCGTCCTCTGCACCATTATAATCATATTCAATTCAATTCAATTCAATTCAATAATTCTTTATTTATCCCTCATGGGGCAATTTTAAAACAGGACTGAAATACTCAATAAGTTAAAATCATTTATAAACATCGAACAACAATAATATATATAAAACTAAATAAATAGTAAGTGTATAAATATAAATCACCAAAAAACATACAAAAGAGACCAACCAGAATCATAACTGTAAAAATATATGTAAAAAGTTATTGTTATATAGTATTTATTTTATTATTATTATTATTATTATTATTATTATTATTATTATTATTATTATTATTATTATTATTATTATTATTATACATATATTGTCATCACCCTTTTTATGTTATTTTATATCCTATGTTTTGTGTTTATTTAAAAGCCTTATGCCTATAGTAATGAAAGACTTAAGTTTACGTTTTCATCGTCGTCAACATCACACCACCATTACCACCGACATCGCCATCATCACCTGTCACAGTTTTTATCCCCTCATCATAATCATACTCTCATCGTCATCATCGTCGTCATCATCATCATCATCATCATCATCATCATCATCATCATCCCCATCCTCATCATCATCATCATCATCATCATCAACAACATCATCATCATCATCATCATCATCATCATTATATATTTTTTCTTGACACCCAGGTAAACAAAGTTTCCACAGTATGGCTTCTAAATCCCTGTAAAACTAGCCACATTCTAACATTCCGCCCCTCCACCCTTTCACATAAAAACCTGGATCCCCTTGAATCTTCTCTATTGGGTAGGCCTAAGCCGTTATCACCTGGTAGATTTGTCTATGGAGGTTTACCTACAGTACATGGGCTGTCTGCCATAAATAACTAAAATTAAAGTGTAATCTGTATAAGGAGCAGAAGCAAACGCAGCATTTAATTTTAAAAAATTAATAATTCAAGTGAATATACAAAGAACAACTCATCTAGAGTGTGACAAGTAATTCATTATTGCTTCAAGCTGAATTTGGCAAATAAGTGAAATTAAAATTGTACTTTCACTATGCTATTCGAAACTCTACGGTATTCATTAATTTGTAGGCCTAGGCCTATTTCCAAATGTGCCCCTAAATAAGATGTTTTTATTGTTATTGTTATTAATGTTGTTGTTGTTGTTGTTGTTGTTATTATTATTATTATTATTATTATTATCATTATTATTAGGCCTATTATTATTATTATTATTATTATTATTATTATTATTATTATTATTATTATTATTATTATTATTTGTATTATGTATTACGGTGTTCCTTGTACTTTTTTTTCATGGCGAAATAGGAAACTTGATTCATCTATTTTTGGTACTTATTAGAAATTCAATGTTGATGAATTTATCATTTTTTTGCAATAGACACATACATTTGTCTTAATCACATGAATTAAAATAGGCCTAAACTAGATACACTTTCCTGCGTTGTATAATGTTATAAAGGCTGAGTGTGTGAAGTCGAACCCTATTATTAGAAGCTGTTGAATTGAGACAAAAACGCCTCCAACAATCACCGTGTTAAACTTCGAAGTTGAGATAATGGACAAGCAGAATCCTTTATCCACGTACATTTGTTATGAAGCTGTTTGTTTGTAAGTACCGTACATTATAGCTGCTATATTACAATGAAAATGCAATTTAATTGTGCGCTTTTAACGTTTCCAATACAAGATTATACATTTTCTAAATAAGATGACCAAGCATATCAATGCATGTTAATCAATCTGAAACGATATTCAAAGATAACATACAGCGAACTGCTAATGTTTGTTTTGCATGTCTATTGCACACTGATACTCACACATGCATGGCAAAATTGTTTGTTTTCAATGTTATGGTTGTTTTATTGCGATAAAACTATTTTAACATCGTGCTGTATAACGCTCTTTTTAACCAAGCCTGTTGCTGCATATTATCGTTCTGATCAGCAGCAGGTTTATCATTTTTTCCTATACCTATTTAGATCGTCACTCCATCGTTTTTGGTAACTTTTAAGCAAATGAAAATGTTTGTGTGTGTAAAGATCCTTGAGTGTACATAAATGAATAAGAATTGTACATAAATTACTTTTAGAGACCAATCAATTTTTATTTTCTGCAAATGTAAACACTACAGTAAGCTTATACCACAATATTCAATTATTATCGTCATCGCTGATTGGCTGTGCTAATGTTCAGAGTGACTGCGAGATCAATTAAAATTTAAATGCTGTA